GAATTAAACAAAGGTGTTGGGTGCTAGTCAGAGAACATAATGAGTGAGCTGTATGGTATGTAAGAAAATGATAAGAGTTACGAGAAAAGGGCAGTAGGAAAGGAGGATGGAGTATGTGTGTGGGTGATACAGTTGTAACCACTGTGGTCACCACATTTGGGCAGACCTGAGGGGGTGAGGGACTGAGCGGTGGGCATCCTGGAGTAGAAGAACATTTCATGCAGAGAGGATGGTCATACAAAAGGCCTAAAGCAAAACACTTCTGGGAGGTGAATGTACTCTCAGAATATATCTATTTTACGCTTCATCATTTTACTCTCTGACATTGGCTTGTTTGTAAGTAAAGGGATTTGTGTTTGTTAAATTATTTTTTTAACTACAGTTTCACTTATCCATAACTCAATACCTGGAGACTTCACATATCCAGAACACACATGAGAACTATCAGAAAAAAAAGAAGGGAAGAAAGAAATGGCCTGTGAAGACCAAAACACCCCTTAGAGCAGTGGCCTCAGGTCCTCCCTTACTGCTTTTATGTAAACTTTGATAAAGCTTGGTTACCTGGTATCCAAGCTTTTCACTGACTGAAAGGAAGGGATCTGAAGAGAACCTCGGCAGGGTTGTGCCTGCCAATCAGATCTACAGACAGCAGTGAATATTAACACTGCCAGCCTGCCAGTAGGAGTCAATAAAATGCACAAACCGGGCTTCCCTGGTGGCGCAGTGGTTGAGAGTCCGCCTGCCGATGCAGGGGACACGGGTTTGTGCCCTGGTCCGGGAGGATCCCCCATGCCGCGGAGCGGCTGGGCCCGTGAGCCATGGCCGCTGAGCCTGCGCGTCTGGAGCCTGTGCTCCGCGACAGGAGAGGCCACAACAGTGAGAGGCCCACGTACCGCAAAAAAAAAAACAAAAACAAATAAAATGCACCAACCCCAAAGGCACCCCACCTGGAGGCTATACTCAGAGAGGAGACAAGCACCCACCTTAAGGGGCCCTGACGACACCACCGTGGAGCGTACAATAGCCACTTATTCAAAATGATAACCATACCCCACCCCACCCCAAAGTTTTGATTCAAACATTACAAATTTTTAAAAGCTTTGTTGATTATAGAAGTAAAATTTCAAGTATCTAGAAGACTTTATCTAGGAAGCCTCATTCACAGAAAATAACAATTAGGCAAGATCTTTTGGTACCAATTAAAGAGATAATTCAAGTTGAAAATCTTCCACAAAGGGGTATGGATGACCTGGTTATTTATTTATCATTGCTACCAAATTTCTCATCATTGTACTATTTTATTACATTTGGGTGTGTTTTCTCTTGCAAGAGTGCAAATCTGAATCCAGGTATTTTAGATTATAAATTATTTTATGTATATTATAAAATTATGTTTTTAGATTATAAAAATACTTTGACTTAGGGCTTCCCTGGTGGCGCAGTGCTTGAGAGTCCGCCTGCCGGTGCAGGAGACGCGGGTTCGTGCCCCGTTTCGGGAGGATCCCGCGTGCCGCGGAGCGGCTGGGCCCGTGAGCCATGGCCGCTGAGCCTGCGCGTCCGGAGCCTGTGCTCCGCAAAAGGCCCACGTACCACAAAAAAAAAAAAAAAAAAAAAAGAAAAATACTTTGACTTAAAAAAGCATTTACCAGTTTTGCAAAAAGAGTCACAGCAAAGTATGTTCCTCTTTCCTCTGACTGATTATTTTCTTTACTTCAGAAAATTCTGATTTACCCACAACTTTCCAAGCAAAACTCAGTTACATAAAGGAAATTATACCAGCATTATATGTTATCATAACATGCCAGTTATTACTCAGTTCATGAAATGAGTCTCCAGCTCCAGAAGGTACCCTGAGTATAAGAATTAGAAATCCATTTTAGGCACTTGAGATAGAAATATAGGGGAAGGGGTTACATTTTAACAAACAAAAAGGATTCTCAGGGCTTAACTGCATTAAAAAAAAAAAAAAAAAAAAAGGCTAGCAATTATCAGGTATCCAAACAGCTACCAAATGCACCTGAAAGACAATAGCTCTGGGTTTTTGCCTTCTTCTCTTACTACTTAGGTGTGATGGAAAAGCAGCTTTCTAACTATTTCTAACCCTCAGCTCCAGCCCCCCAGCAGCAGAGGCAGGGACTCAGCCTTGCTCCTATAGCTAGTACTTTGCTAGGAAAGCTGATGAAATGGACTGCTTCTAAAAATCGATGCTGGAAACACTCACCAATGCCGAGTTTAAGATAATTTTTGAAAAATGATCTGAGTAGGAAACATTTTTTTACTACAAATAACCAATCATCTTTGTTGTCTCTTCTGCTGTGGTTAGCTTCAGTAAGTACCACCCTAGAAGGATCGACAGTGGGGCTTGTTTGTGTTCTTTTCTTTTGATTGACTATAAAATCTTTTTCAACCCCAGTTTTCAGCATTTGGCACAAACAGCTCAAATCTGACTGTATTTCCTCCTCAAAACCATTAATTTTCAGTATCTTTTAGCTCAAAAAGTCCAAAGTAAAAGCTATATAGACCTCAAAAAAAATCCATAAAACGCTTTCATTCATGTCCCATTTCCCTCACCAAACATAAGTTGGAAAAAAGAAATCACAATGTACAGTACATAATATGTTAAAGAAATAACAGCAATTAAAATTTATAAAAAATTAAATTAAATTACAAAAATAAGGTTGATTGTCATAGAGGAAAAGTCAGGCAACATTTAGCCCTAATTGGCCTCCCTGTGTTGACAAAATGGAACCATACTGGCAGAAGACAAAAATCTCATAAATAGGTAATTGAGAGAGAAGATCTGAAGGCAGCTTCTTTTAGAACTACTTGACATCCTAATTTTCTATGATTTTATATAAAATGATGTAAGCCAGGCAAACTCACATCAAATCAAGAGGGCTATATATGCTGGAGGCCTTTTAGAGTATGTTAGGTAATATATAAATCTAAATGCACTGGAGATAGAAGTGTTTTTGTGTCATAAGATTTTTGCACTGGCATGACTACACTGTAAAAATCACTGAATATGTTGTTTTCAAATTGCTCCTTACTATGACCCAATATTCTAGAAATGTGTATGCTTTCATACAGATGATGATGGTCCTGAATTTAGGAAATTATCATGTCAAAGACTGTAGCTATTAAAGGAACATAATTTTGTTTTGAGGCTTATGCATTTCAGCTACGTTTTTATTGGACATTGTTAGATTTTTTAGTCATTCCATTAAGGCCTTATAAAATATTTGTGTGGGAGTATAGAAAAGGAAAGAAAGGGTAAGAGACAGATGAACTATATGATGGGGATGGAGGAGGATTTATTTCAAGTAAGAAAGGGGTAATTTTAGCCACAATGCCACAAAACAATAATAAATCAGTGTTAAAAACTAACGTACTGAGATGGTTAATTTTATGTGTCACCTTGACTGGGCTAAGGGATGCCCAGTCAATAATGGTGAAACATTATTTACGAGTGTGTCTGTGAGGGTGTTTCTGGAAGAGGTCAGCATTTGAATCCGCAGACTGGATAAAGATCCCTCTTATCAACGTGGGTGGGCCTCATCCAATCCACTGGGGGACTGTACAGAACAGAGGAGGAAGGGCGAGTGTGCTCTCTGCTTGAGATGGGACAGCCATCTTCTCCTTCCCTTGGACATCAGTGCCCCTGGTTCTCACACTGGGACTGACCTTTACAACCTTGTTCTCCACGTCACAGACAGCAGATCGTGGGACTTCTCAGCCTTCATAAGCTCATGAGCCAATCCCTATAATAAATCTCATATATATATATCTCCTATTGGTTGTGTTTCTCTAGAGAACCCTGACTAATACTCATACCATATTTAGGGAAGGTAAATAAAATTTTTTTTACTCTTCTTTATTTATTTAGATTTACTTTTTATTGAGGTTACATTGGCCTGTAACATTATGTAAGTTCATATGTACATTATATTTCTACTTCTGTATACACTATGGTGTGCTCACCACCAAAAATTTAGTTTCCATCCATTACCATACAGTTGATCCCCTTTACCCATTTCCCACTCCCACACCCCACCACCCCGCCCCTTCCCCTCTGGTAATCACTACTCTGTTCTTTGTATCGATACATTTGTTTTTGTTTGGTTGGGCTTTTGTTCATTTATTTTGTTGGTTTGTTTTTTATATTCCACATAAGAGTGAAATCATAGAATATTTGTCTTTCTCCATCTGACTTACTTCACTCGGTATATCTTCAGGGCCCATCCATGTTATCGCAAATGGCAATAATCATTTTATTTATGAAAGTTGCCTTCTAAAACTTCTTACTGTTTTATAAGGCAACTGTATCTTCTGTAGAGGAAATAGTAAGGCTTTGGAGTCTAACAGATCTGGCTTTAATTTCTAGCTCATCTAGTTGAATGAATATATGTACCCAGGAAAATTAGGGAAACTTGCAGAGCTTCAGTTTCCTCATTAGTAGATGGAGTATCTAGACAATTAAAATTTTAAATGAATATAAATTACATTTCACAGTGTTTGGAATACGGAGGACATTCCTTTTAAACCCTTCTCCATAAGTATATACCCATATATGTTGTTTACAATGGACTTTTAAAATGTTTCTCGATTTATCTAATGTTTATGTCCTTTTAAAATTGGCTCTTTAAAATTTTTTTCTTGATTTACCAATATTTGTAGACTGTCTTTAATATTTCCAGCATTAGACAGTTTTCTCTGTTCTGGAACCTTCTACAAGATTTAGCCTGTTACATGCATCAAATGGCCTGCACATTTCCCCAGCAAGCCCAGAAACCCTCAAGATTTTGTAATGTCTTTGGAAAACAGGCTTATCTGCTGACTCTTATTTTCATAAGTGTTCCTGAGGAATAAATAACTCAACATAGAAGCATCTGAAAGAATATGTAAACTGCCTTGAAAGCCAGGAGATTACAATGATCACATCTTGAACTATTAAATATCCCATAAACAAGTCCCTGTTGAATGAGTCTTTTTGTACTTACTTTGCATTAGCGGGATTACAAGTGGTCAGATTCGCCAGGGCAAGGGCAGAAGCTTCCCTTACCTCTTCACTGTCACTTTTTAGTAACTGAATTAACTGTGGGATCCCTACAGAAAAAGAAAGGTAAAATGTGACTTTACAGACATCCATGTGAACTAGAATATGGCAACCTAAAAAATGTTCAAAGTGGCCTTTTCCAGTTTGCTTACCCTGATTATTGAAAAATTCTTTGCTGCCCGAATTCTCACACATTGCCGAAATAGCTTGGGAAGCAGCAATTTTAGTTCCATCGTTTTCAGAACCCAAAAGGGTTACAAGGCATTTTTCAACTTCTTGTTCGTGAAAAAGTTTTCTGTTTTCAGCTTTCATAAACCAAAAAGGAGAAAAAAAAATCAGAATTTTGCTGCAAAAACCGTGCAAGTGTAAAGACTTCTGCATCCAAAATATGATAGGAATTCAAACTATTTGTTAGCTTTAGTCACAGTCTAAAATATATACCTATTTATCCTTTAGAACACAGTGATTATGCAAAATGAATTATGGGCATTGCATTTTATTCATATTCCCTCATATGATATCAATACTATGGCAGAGAAAATTCTGTAATAAGAAAGAGGCAAGCTTCAGACTTAGCAAGAACTTATTTAACATCAATCGTGTGCCTGTCATGGTGCTGTGGTCACATGCGCTGTCTTCTCACTGAATACAAAAACCTGTTTATTTTAAATACAAAGCCCTATATTTGAAGAATGCCTAAGACGCACAAACCTGTGAGCTGGATGCTCAAGAGCAGAGCAGAGAGGAGGAGAAAGTCAAAATGAGTAATAAAGTATTGATATCATCCCAAGTCTTAAGGAATTTATGATCATCTTTTATCTTGTTACAATACATGCTGACATAGCAAAAATTATAATAATTACTTAATTGCTAAGTTGCCATAAACATAAAATAACATAAACATAGCACAGTTCCGTTTGAAAACAAAGTTATGACTCTAAGTACATACCATGATATTAACCCCACTATAAAACACTAAATTCAAACCAAAACCAAAGCATTTTTAATGTTCTTTTTGTTCCCGATGTTCCTCTATTTAGTTTGATTTTTTAATAAATGAAAATCTCGTCACTATACAAAAGCAAATACTGCATTGAATTAAATTAGAACATTAAACAATTTTTGTTTTGTGTTCTACAGTTAATTCTAAATAAATTACTATTTATTAAAAGCATGTACTAGAAAAAATATATATTAAACCGAACTGTTTTAATGCTATAATAGAACCAGAGACAAGTTGGAAAAGAAACAGCTTACAAATAATTCCTTGCTAATTTATTTACAGTTCCTAAGAAAATTTTGTCATAGGTTTGGTTCTCATTAATTAACCTTTATAAAGTCAATGTAAATGATTAAAATGGAAGAATGTGTGATATGTGCTCTTAGGATGTTGATATACAAGAGAAGAATATTTTGTTAGAATAAAGATCTCTGCAAAAAATGCTGATATACCTTAGATTACATCAACATGTGGAAATAATTCACTACTTGTACAAATTTTAATTAACTTTTTTCCCAGAGATATCTTCAGAAATTATAGCAACTAGGTTTCCACTTTTATTGATTTTTGTCTTCTTTCAACAATGATTTTTAAAAATTACCTTTTTCACAGAAGCGATATCATGGTCAGATGTCACCACCTTTGCAAATACTGTCTTGGCCTTTGTTCCTCTGATACACAGATGTATGCCTGAGCAACCTGGCCATCAGTGGCACAAGCTAAGTCACTAACACTCCTGTTCATTCGTCTTAAAGCAATCATGAACCATGTCCTGTAATCCTATCATTTTAATCCCTGCTCCTTTCATTTAAAACTGGAATTCAGTCAGGCCATAACTGTTTCATTAAAAAGCTGCAATTAATACTTAAATCTCAAGTATATGGCCCTTAAAATGTTTTAAAATATATGTAGTCCTTATTAGTTTTCCCTGAATAAACAAGATCTCAAACTTTTCCAGAATCTCTGACTTAAAATGCTCAGATTTATAATTAAGACTTCCAAGATGGGCTTCCCTGGTGGCGCAGTGGTTGAGAGTCCGCCTGCCGGTGCAGGGGACACGGGTTCGTGCCCTGGTCCGGGAAGATCCCACATGCCGCGGAGCCTCTGGGCCCATAAGCCATGGCCGCTGAGCCTGTGCATCCGGAGCCTGTGCTCCGCAACGGGAGAGGCCACAACAGTGAGAGGCCTGCGTACTGCAAAAAAAAAAAAAAAAAAGACTTCCGAGGTGATGCTCAATCAACTTCACTAAACAGAACACTCTGAGTGGATTCTATCAAGAAAATCGACTAAAAGAATTATTTTGAAAAGACTAACTTTGGAGTATGTGATGGTTACAATAAAAAAACAGTGTATACACAATTATTGGAACAATTAAAAAAAAATAATTTAAATACTATGGGCAATTAGTTTCTCAGCCCTGCTGGGAGTGTTCTCAAAATCCAGCTGTGTTCACCAAATCTCAAAAGTGCTGACTGCAGCGTGGCTATAATGGATTTAAAAGATGAATTAACATATTAACCAAGTACCTTCATTGAATTGCTACACTGAGAAGTATTTAAGTGTTAATTACACAGAAAGTAAAGATGGCAAGGTAATTATGCTACTAATAGAATAATGTCCTTTAAAAATAACATTTGTTCAGTATCACTAAATTTAAAAGCATGAGGTTTTGTATCTGAAAATAAATGTGTATGTAATGATGCTTTTCTTTACTCATTCTCAGAAGTTGCTAGTGGGCCACCTGTGCTCCTGCTGAGATGTTAATGCAGTTCATAAACCTCATGGCAACATGGTAGTTAACGCCTTCCTCCTCCTGGTGCCAGGTCAAAGGCATACTAATTTAGGGGTGCATATTAAAACTTTACTCAGCAAACAAAACTTAAAGAGTGTATATTATGTGGTTTTGTTTCAACTGTGTTTTTGACATGCAATGACAATGCTAACCCTAACCCTAGCCTACAAAAAACTTTTTTATGATGATGGAAAGTAAAAAGAGAATGTTATAAATGAATATGGAACAGTATAAGGAGCAACATTTGTAAAAACCTACTTATGAATGGAGTTAAGAAAATATAAACTGGACTACATCAAAGTTTAAAATGTCTGTGCATCAAAAGACACAATCAATAGAGTTAAAAGGCAACCCACAGAATGGGAGAAAATATTTGCAAGTCATATATCAGATAAGGAGTTAATATCTAGAAAATATAAAAACTCCTACAATTCAATAACAAAAAAATTTTAAACCCAGTTTAAAAATGGGCAAAGGATTTGAATAGTCATTTCTCCAAAGAAGATTTTTTAAATGGCCATTTAGCACATGAAAAAGATGCTCAACATCACTAACCGTGAAGGAAATGCAAATCAAAACACAAAGAGATACCACTTCACACCCATTAGGTTGGCTTCTATTAAAAAAAAGAAAAAAAGACAGTATATACCAAGTGTTGGCAAGAATGTGGAGAAATTGGAACCCTTGTGCCCTGTTGATGGGAATGTAAAATGGTGTAGCTGCTATGGAAAACAGTATGGCAGTTCCTCAAAATAGTAAACGTAGAATTACCGTATGACTCAGCAATTCCAGTTCTGGGTATATACCCTAAAGAATTGGAAGCGGGGGCTCAAAGAGATATTTGTACATCTGTGTTCATAGCAGCATTATTCACTGTACCCAAAAGGTGGAAGCAATCCAGGTGTCTATTAGCGGATGAAAGGATCAACAAATGTGATATAATTATACAATGGCATATTTTTCAGAGTTAAAAAGGAAGGACATCCTGACACATGCTACAACATGAATGAACCTTGAGGACATTATGCTGAGTGAAATAAGCCAATCACAAAAGGACAAATATTGTATGATTCCACTTATATAAGTACTTGTAGTCAAACTCAGACAGAAAGAATGGTTTCCAAGGACTGCAGGGAGGGAGAAGGGGGGAGTTATTTATTCATGGGTACAGAGGGTTAGGCTTGTGAGACGAAGAGGCCTGCAGCTGGATGGTGGTGATGGTAGCACAACAACGTGAATGTATTTAATACCACTGAACTGTACACTTAGACATGGTGAAGTCGGTGAATTTTAAACTATGTGTATTTTACAATTTTTAAAAAAAGAACAGACCTCATCTTTCCTTCAATCAAAACCTGCCCTTCTTCTTGAGTTCCCCATTTCTGTGAGTGGCACCATTCTACGTCCAGCTGTCCAAGCCAGAAGGCCTTGTCCTTGGCAGTACCTTCTTCTTCCCCCAGCCCACAGAGTCATTCAGCAAACCCATATGGACCCTCAAGCACTGTGCTGCTGGGTCTCCTTGCAGACGCCTCCGAGTCCATTACAACCATCTCGGCTCTGCTTCAGGATCCCCCTCCTCTCACCTCGATCACTGCAGCAGTCCCCTTCCCGGTCTTCCTGCACCTGGTCCTGTGCATGTCTAATCTCTTCTCCACTTTGCAGCAAGAGTGCTCTTTCTCTAAAAAGTGGAAATCTGTAGGGTTCCCTCCCCTCTCTAAGTCACTTGAGGGGTGCTTTGTTGCCATGAAAATAAAGTCCAAAGCCCTTAAACTTGGCTCGTGATGCCCATTAGCATGGGCGCCTCATTACTTCTCCGGCCTGGACTCTCAGTTTTCTGCTGCACTCTATTCACTGGCCATTCTGAAAACTTTCAGCTCTGGAACTCACCACGCTCTGTCCCTCTCTGGCCACTACACACTGTCCCTTCTCCTCAGAGCACTGCTGAGCTTCCCCGACCCACCAGGACCTTCTTTGCCCAGCCAGTTTCCCTCGTCTCCTCTAGGTCCGAGCCTGTAAATCACCTATTCCAGGAAGGCTTGTCTGACCCAAGTCTGCGTTAGGTGGACCCTCCTGGGGGATCCTGTTCCCCCATCATCAGGCACGTTTAACACGGCATCGCGACTGCCTGCTTACTTGCCTGCCCTGGGTTTGTTGATACAAACTGGAGGCTTAATAAACATTAATAAATGAATTCATAAACAGATCCAGATAGGCTGTAGCTCACTCACAAACACATCCCTAGGTCACTGAAGTGCCAGTAGTGTAATTAGTAGTAGAACTAGAGTGCAAGAGCTCTCCACCCCGTGCTCTTTTCACTACTGTATCACGTGATGGGTAATAAACTCACGAAACTTGTATCACAAGAGGGGCCAAAACCCAAAGAGAAGTTGAGATACGTAAAAATTTTAGGTTTGACATTGCTCATGTCTTTCCATTGCCCTCTCATCTGGTCTCAAATAACTAAGAAGGCCTGGGATAGATGGAGAACAGAACTGACCAGGTAATGACAAGGCCTAAGTTCCTTTTGGGAGAATTCTGAATTAAGCAATTTTGCCAAAATTAATTTTACAGGCTGTCTTTAGATTTGGCCTGTATGATGTAACTCACGAGGCCCCTCTCTATTGACTTTGTACTGGGAGGTGAAATTTGGCATACTGCATTAAAACTTTGAAGAAATCCAGTATGGGTTGAAAAGGAAATGTTTCCCATAATATACACATAGACATATATACAGATGTGAGTATATATGTTTAGAATATAAATCACTTAAACTAGTCAAAGCTGTCATCATTTATAAGAGGGGTGATGTGGAAGGGGGAAAATAAAATCACATCTTTCATTAAATAAAATACTCCAAATATACATAAATTGAAACTATAATTTTATCTTCAGTGCTCATGATGTAATTAATCTCTCATATTTTACAGATTTATGTCAACATAGCTTGCCAGTGAAATGAAAATTGTATTTTGTGTATAGTATGAGCATATTATTTTTCATAGCTATATAACATGGAACAGCTAGACTCCAGCTGCACCTCGAAATTACTGTATAGATATCATTCCAAATGTGGATTTATTGAAATGATGTTTTCGGGATCACAGAGAGTGCATACATTCTGTAAAATTTCAAAATCAGGAGAAATAAAAGCTTAAAACTTAATTTAGGAATGAACTGTTTAAAAATAAGGTTATAATTAAATCATATTGAGTTTATTAAATCCTTGACAAAGCAGTCTATTACTTATTAGCATTGAGATGAATTTTGATCTTAAATAGTAAGTATAGCACTATCTTCAGATGACCATCTAAAAGCAGACAAATGCTGTAGCGTTCGTTAGTACTAATTGAAATCAAGACTACAGGAGGAAATAGGTATGCTTAGTTTATACAAAATGAGACATACGATCATAAGCGGCTTTAGTAATTGCTCTTGCTGCATTCTTTTGAATATCAGGAATTGTAGAGTTTTCTGCAAATGATAGGAGCTTCTTAAGACCCCCTGTCTGCTGAATCATCACCATGGTATCCATATCTTCAAGGCAATTGGCCAACACGGAAAGCGCTTCTATATGAAGGTCACTCAATTCCTAATAATAAAAGCAAACACAACTTTAGAAAATTGTAATAAAAGCAATCCACACTTTCCAAATTTTATTACAAGAGGGACTCAGATCAGTCAGAACATAATGTAATTAATTTTGTTGTGACAGAGGCCCAAGGAAACAGTTCTGTTTATTAACATGACATCTCTCTCCCTGACCATTAGTCCCATCTCTTCTCATTTCCCCTATTCCAAAATGTTTTACAGATAAAAAATAGTTGCTGGAAACTTCCAGTAATGGTATCTAAGTGATGTTGCTCAAACAGCCTTCTGCCGACAACAAGTTTAAAATCTAAAGAAAATATTTTTTGAAAAAGCAGACAGAAGCTGAAGGAAAGTATATTCCTTAAAATCCCCAACTGGTAGAGGGAGGTATTGTGAGTGTGTGGCTTTCTTGCCTGAGGAATCTCCAGAATCCCCATAGCAGTGGAAAACTGAAGCCTTTTCTGAACAGTTAGAAATTTAAGGTAGAAATCACAGTAAGGATGCTCCACTGCCATGGTATTCTACACAGCAGTGGTTCTGATCAAGAAACTCACTTTACAGCAAAAGAAATGCAGCAGTGGGCAGATGGTCACAGAAATCACTGGCCTTCCCATGTTCCCTACCATCCTGAAGCAGCTGGCTTGATAGAACGGCCTATGCGAGACACAGTGACAGCGCTAGCTAAGTGGCAATAACTTGCAGGACTATATATTCTCTGGAACAGCATCCAATATACATTGCTGTTACTCCCAGGAACCAAGGAATGGATATGGGAGTGGCACCACTCACTATTACCCATGGCAATTCAGTAGCAAAAATTTTGTTTCCTGTACCTGTAACCTTATGCTCTGCTGATCTAGAAATCTTAGATCCAAAGGGAGGGATACTTCCACCAGGAGACACAACAATGAGTCCACAGAACTAAAAGCTAAGACTGCCACCTGACCTCTTTGGGAGCCTCATGGTTCTGAATCAACAGGCAAAGAAGAGAGTTACTGTGCTGATTGGGGTGATTGAGCCCACCTATCCAAGGGAAATTGGACTGCTACTCCACAACAGAGGTGAGGAAGACTATGCCTGGAATACAGGGGGTCCCTTATGGCATTTCTTAGTAATACCATACCCTGTGATTAAGGTTGATGGAAAACTATAATGACCCAATCTGGGTACCACTACTAATGGTCCAGCCTTTTCAGGAATGAAGGTTTGGGTCACCACATCAAGTAAAGAATCAAGATGGGGCTTCCCTGGTGGCGCTGTGGTTGAGAGTCCGCCTGCCGATGCAGGGGACGGGGGTTTGTGCCCCGGTCCGGGAAGATCCCACATGCTGCGGAGCGGCTGGGCCCGTGAGCCATGGCCACTGAGCCTGCGTGTACGGAGCCTGTGCTCCGCAACGGGAGAGGCCACAGCAGTGAGAAAGAATCAAGATGAGCTGAGGTGCTTGCTGAGGGCAAGGGGAATATGGAATCCCCTCAGGCAACATGAGATGTACTGCCTTTACAATATGGTATTTAAGTACGGTTAATTTTACATCTTATTATGGGATGTCAAGGAGAAGAGGAAACATCACCCAAGGACTTTGCATCCTCCTATGGGGAAGGGGACTGTGTGTGTTTTGTTGTACACAGGACAGCTGGACCATGTTAAGTGGAAGTATGATCTTGTTTTTGTCTTTATTTGGAGATTAATGATTTAGGAGCTGTGTACGGATGCCAGATTGACTAGCGATGGACTTGTGATGGTTAATATTTATGTTTTAACTTGGCTAGCTCACAGTACCCAGATATTTAGTCAAACATTATTCTAGATGTTTCTGTGAAGGCATTTTTTTAGGTGAAATTAATATTTAAATCAGTAGACTGAGTAAAGCAGGTTACCCTCCATCATGTGTGGTAAATGACTCTTCTTGCTTTACCCTAGAGAAAACTGGGGCAGACAAATTCTGACTAGGTGTTTCAAGAAAACATAAGATCACAAACAAAATTTTAAAAATTCTAGGTGTTTCAAGAAAACATAAGATCACAAACAAAAATTTAAAAATCTTAAATCTTCTAAATCAGAAGATTTAAAAGATTTTAAAAATTTAAATTATTTTAGAATGCCCTCTACCATTAGTCTGATTTAATTGTGCTGGTAAACTATGTAGCAATAAGCAAATTAGTCCATTCTACTTAGCATCATGCTTAAATATAATAAAATTTCATTTAAAAAATATTCTATAATTTGTATTTTATAACAACACTTGGGAGAGATACATCTCATAGAGAGTTGAATGAATGTTACAGGTACCTTAGTTTCTAGGATCTTAATAAGGTGGTCCACTCCTTGACTGTCTCTTAGCATTGCCCGGCACTCCTTATCATTGGTAATAACATCTAAGGTTTTGAGAGCCAACAACTGAATAATTGGATATTCTGACTTCAAGAGATCTAATATAGGAGGGATTGCATTTAGTTCTTGAAGTGTCGCTCGGCACTGAAAATCCTGCCAGGAAATATAAATGTTCAAATAAGTGGTTTTTAAAGCAAAATACAGTCTTAAGAATGGAGAGATTCTATTTTCTAACAAAGAACATTCTAAGTTATAATGTTCCCATCTTTTATTCTGGATTTGCTTCCAAAATAACTCACAAACAAATATAAGCAAACCCTGGATTGACAACACCAAAATATTCATTTTAACTATACAGACCTTGTCAATAATAGGAAATAGGCATGATCTATGACTTCTCAGCAGCTACTGATTTTTTATTATACAGCAAATTCCTCTTACTACAAACAGCATCACAATAAAATCTATGCATAATGAAATTCTTTTCACACGCTATACCCTGTTTCAAATAGTAGTCGATAAAATGAAATGATGGTATCAATTCCTTATTATCGTCATTCAAATGGATGGTTTATAAAATGCTAATCTGCATGCAGTGCTGTTGGCAGGACCTGTGCATGCAAATTTACATCAGGTTTAGTTCTGACACATGACCTTAATTTAAGACATTTACAAGATCAAGGGGTCATTAGAGTCCAGAAAAGTCGCTCTGCATGGTGTGCCTGTAATCCTGGGTGAGTGGTGGAGGGAGGGTCGTTGGGGTGGACTACAGAGAAAACAAAGCAAAAAAGTCATGAAAAGCCCCCAAACTCTGACTACTAAATCATGACATTTTAAAGCAAAACAGGGTAAACTTAAAATAGAATTAAAGACAGAAAAGACCCCACTTCCAGCGTATCTTCCCTCTGTCTATCCTTCAACTGGCCTCTCATATTCAGCTTCCTTCAGACATAAAAACTGTAGGTTGCTGCTTGCTATGGGTTGAATTGTAACCCCCCCCCAAAAAAAAAATATCTTGAAGTCCTACTCCTCAGTACCTCAAAATGTGACCTTATTTGGAAATGGGATCGTTGCAGATGTAATTAGTTAAGCTAAGGTCATGGGGGAGTAGGGTGGGTAATTATTGGCGTCCGTATAAGATTGGTGTCTTTATAACAGGAGGCGAGAGAGCTGACAGAGGGAGAGATTGCAGTGATGAGGCTGCAAACCAGGGACCACCGAGGATTCACAGCCACCACCAGAAGCTGGGAAGAGGTAAGGGAGGATTCTACCCAGAGTCCCAGACGGAGCATGGCCCTGATGACACCTTGATGTCAGAAGTCCAGCCTCCAGAACCATGAGGGAATAGGTTCCTGTTGTTTTAGCCAGTTTGTGGTACTTTGTTACAGCAGCCTTAGGAAATGAACACACTGTTATTAACTAGTCCTTCTGTTATGAAGAATAGTGGAGGTAAGTCTTTTCATTTCCACTTGATAAAAAATATAGAGAAATAGACTTAATGAGGAGTCTTGGCATGAAACACACAAACACGTTTGCAGGATTATTTAGGCCTATAGGATGAAGTAAAGTCACCAGAGAAGGGATATGGCTGCACTTGCTCTTCAGGAAGAGTAAAGGTAACACCAGTGGGTGCCCAGCTACGTGGCAAGGACATGCCAGGGCCAGGGTTGCATGCTTTGGGTGCCTTTTGGCATGAGTGCCTTTGTCCTCTTTTTCTATATATTTTGTCTAGATACTTTGCTTCTCAATGAACCCTCCTTCACCTTTGCTTCCATATCTCTTCTTTCACATTCTCTTGACGGCTATTTAAAATGGTGTCTTGTACTTCCAGCTGATCTGAAGCTTATCAAACGTGTGTGGGAATTGTTCAGGAACCTGAACAGGAAAAGAAGCAGAGAAGGCTGTCCAAAGTGGCAGCAAGCTGACCTGCTGGGGGTGTGAGGGTGTGTGTGCTGGGTTGGAGATTGGAGGGGACGGGCCAGAGGACAGGACAGGTTGTGGGCGGAGGGTGGGTAGGGTGTTTCTTCCATTATGAAGGGAAGCATCACAGTGAGGTAGCATCTTGCAACTGTGAATGATGAGTTCTGTTCAGCAAAACTCAACTTTTCACCAACAAATAAGCCGAATCCAAAATCTTGGTACATTGCGTAAGGCAGATGATACCAACCAATTGGATCACCAAGATTAGATCAACAGGTAACTTGCCTAGGTCAAAACTAGTTCAATACTAATATTAGATTTCCTGTTTTGGAAGAAATAGTACTTACCTAGTATAATCCTGCCTTAATTTGCAAGCCCATTTTATTCTTTTAAAATGCCCTTTTATGGGGGACAATTACTTTAAAAACGTGAAAACTGAAAGGTATCGACTCTCAACTTCCATTTTTTTTCCCTCTGAATGATAACTACTAAATAGTACTGAGAAGGAGTGATTTTAATTAAAACTGGACCTTTTTTTAAAGCTTTGTCCTTTTTAAAATGGGAAAATAACTTCTATAACCAGCTTTTGTCAAAACTCATTCTTAGAAATTAATCTCACCTGGACCAAGTTGTAAATGCACTCGATAGAATTCTTCTTCACGTCCGGGTCTGGGCTGCTTAGTAGTCTGATGAGAGGCTCTAATCCACCTTGTTCAAATATTTGCACTTTGCTGGTATACTCTGCAGACATGTTTGCTAGGCAAAGACTAGCAAACTCATGAATAACTACTTCCTCTGTGTATCAAAAACAAATAACACAAGTATGTAAAGGCTTATTCAACCATTACGTTAAAGCATGCTGTGAAAACCAAAGCTCCACAGATCTTAACCTTGGTTGGAGCCCATCTTAGTTGACAGAGTTTAATGAAAATACAGAATTGGTGTTTCATAAACTATTTTCAATCGGTACTTTAATCAGATGCGAAAAATAAACCATTCCCCATTTTTGAAATATTGACAGATGGAGGATGCAGAGTTACCTTCTGCGGCCAGCTGAGCAATCACAGAATTCGTGACATGTAACTCCCTTAACAGTTTTTTGACATCATCTACAAAAGAAGAAACAGAATATTAATGTTTATTAGTTATAATAATAATGGCAGTGTCTGTGGAATAGTTCCTTATGAGATAGGTTCTATTATTACCTAATTTTACAGATAAGGAAATTGAGGTTCACAATCACACAGCAAGTAAGAGGTGGGGACGGGTGTCACACCCAGGTCTGTCTGACCCCAGACAGACTCTAGCCCATGTTCCTTGATTGCTCAGCTGTGTGACCTTCCAAAACACTAGAAAAGATAACCATAAATGCACGAAAGTGCCTAGAACACCATCAGTAAAGTTGAGTTACTGTGCCCTACATTTGCTCATGATATAACAGTAATGCGTTTTGTTTTGTTTTGTTGGGAGGATATTTTTAAATTTAGATTTTAATAAAACTAGTATAAAATGCAAATAAGAATTATCCTCAGCCTTTTCCCATAAATACATCTTGTATATGTTCCATTTGCTTATCAGAAATGCCAAAAATGCTTAAAGATAAGTATATTAATTTTTTAAAGTTCACTTTTATATTATTTACAGGAGCCTAATTAAAGCTAGACAATTATGCCCCTGCTTCTTTCTTGCCATCCTTCACCCTCTTTTTCTGAGAAATAAGGCATAGCTCCTACTTTAGTTTTGCAATTTCTCTTCTTGGTCGATTATCTCTTCTGTAAGCCAAAATTAGTGTTACCAGAAGTTTGGAAAAATTTACTTTGCAGCAGCTGAAGCAGATCGTCTCGGGAATTAAGCGCTGGATACGTTTGCCTTTTCTTGGACACCTTTTCCTGTGTGATTCAGGGATGTGGCTGTTCCTCAACCTGTCAAAACTTCTTTCACTCTGTTCTGTTCAAAATGGCTCAAAGAGGGCTAGCAATCTTACAGCTAGCTATATATGCACATGGATAGGCTTTCAGCACAAAAGAATAATTGAGTTTTGGGGAAGTGTAGGACTTCATATTTTACAGTCGAAACTTCTCTGAAAAACACATTACCTCCACAGGTCAAGAAATAATAGCCATGACATAATAGTCAGATCCTTCCAAGTGTACTGGTAAACTAGGCAGAGGTGCCCCCTCTGGAAAAGCATGCTGTCATTCTCTTCTCACTCCTATGAGTCCAGTCTGTGTTGTTTGCAATGATTTTTTGGAAGGTTGTACCAAAGTTCCCTATTTTTACAAGCTAGAAGAAAAGCATTTCTGGGCTTTTAGATCTCCAAGTACATTCTCCACTTAGTATACAAAATAATCTTCCATCTACTTCAAAGTTTCTGCTACAACGCTAACCATGAGGTCAGGAAGATTCTGGCCCTGTGTACTCTCTGCTCCTTGTGTTTCCCTGCAGGAAGCATCTGTTCCCACAGGGAGAGGCCCCCTTGCTGCATCTGTATGTGCCACCACCCCCTTGGTGTGCCCAAACAAGTTAAAAGTTTTCATCAGAGGATTCTCTGGGCCACGAAATTCCTTTCTACATATGAATTTAGCCCAGGTCTGTTCAACAACAGATCTAGTAGGTTTATCCACTACACCACTTTCTTAAGGCTCAATGGATCATTCAGATTCAATGGCAGCTCTTGTAAATTGGTGGCATAGCTGATTAACTTGTTATTCAACTTTCTGACACCAGACTGTTCAAATAGTCCTTTTGTTCTTGAGGTTAAATCAGCAGAAATAATGGATAAGCTGCTACTTCTGTCACTTTAAATATAATATTGATATCTGTCCCCTTCTTTCTCAGCAGAGAACACTCTCAGATATGGCAACTTGGACTTGTGGTTGGGCCACATGAACACGTTCTAGGCAAGCAGTGGGACACCTACAATTCTAGCTTGTTTCAGAACTGCCAGCACCTTCCTTCCCGGAGTATCTTCATGCCATCTGGTTTTTTTTTTTTTTTTTAGTCATCAATTTTATACACATCAGTGTATACATGTCAATCCAAATCACCCAATTAATCACACCACCATCCCCACCGACCCGCCGCTTTCCCCCCTTGGTGACCATACGTTTGTTCTCTACATCTGTGTCTCAACTTCTGCCCTGCAAACCGGTTCATCTGCACCATTTTTCTAGGTTCCACATACATGCATTAATATATGATATTTGTTTTTCTCTTTCTGACTTAACTTCAATCTGTATGACAGTGTCTAGATCCATCCACATCTCAACAAATGACCCAATTTCATTCCGTTTTATGGCTGAGTAATGTTCCACTGTATATATGTACCACATCTTCCTTATCCATTTGTCTGTCGATGGGCATTTACATTTCCATGACCTGACTATTGTAAATAGAGCTGCAATGAACATTGGGGTGCATGTGTCTTTTTGGATTATGGTTTTCTCTGGGTATACGCCCAGTAGTGGGATTGCTGGATCATACGGTAATTCTATTTTTAGTTTTCTAAGGAACCTCCATACTGTTCTCCATAGTGGCTGTATCAATTTACATTCCCACCAACAGTGCAAGAGAGTACCCTTTTCTCCACACCCTCTCCAGCATTTGTTGTTTGTAGATTTTCTGATAATGCCCATTCTAACTGGTGTGAGGTGATACCTCATTGTAGTTTTGATTTGCATTTCTCTAATAATTAGTGATGTTGAGCAGCTTTTCATGTGCTTCTTGGCCATCTGTATGTCTTCTTTGGAGAAATGTCTATTTAGGTCTTCTGCCCATTTTTGGATTGGGTTGTTTGTTTTTTTTAATACTGAGTTGCATGAGCTGTTAATATATTTTTGAGATTAATCCTTTGTCCGTTGATTCGTTTGCAAATATTTTCTCCCATTCTGAGGGTTGTATTTTTGTCTTGTTTATGGTTCCCTTTGCTGTGCAAAAACTTTGAAGTTTCATTAGGTTCCATTTGTTTATTTTTGTTTTTATTTCCATTACTGTAGGAGGTGGATCAAAAAAGATCTTTCTGTGATTTATGTCAAAGAGTGTTCTTCCTATGTTTTCCTCTAAGAGTTTTATAGTGTCCAGTCTTACTTTTAGGTCTGTAATCCATTTTGAGTTTATTTTTGTATATGGTGATAGGGAGTGTTCTAATTTCATTCTTTTACATGTAGCTGTCCAGTTTTGCCGGCACCACTTATTGAAGAGACTGTCTTTTTTCCATTGTATATCCTTGCCTCCTTTGTCATAGATTAGTTGACCATAGGTGTGTGGGTTTATCTCTGGGCTTTCTATCTTGTTCCATTGATCTATATTTCTGTTTTTGTGCCAGTACCATATTGACTTTGTAGTATAGTCTGAAGTCAGGGAGTCTGATTCCTCCAGCTCTGGTTTTTTCCCTCAAGACTTCTTTGGCTATTCGGGGTCTTTTGTGTCTCCGTACAAACTTTAAGATTTTTTGTCTGTAATTTTCTTTTTTTGTAGTGTCTTTGTCTGGTTTTGGTATCAGGGTGATGGTGGCCTCATAGAATGAGTTTGGGAGTGTTCCTTCCTCTGAAATTTTTTGGAAGAGTTTGAGAAGGGTGGGTGCTAGCTCTTCTCTAAATGTTTGATAGAATTCACCTGTGAAGCCAACTGGTCCTGGACTTTTGTCTGTTGGAAGATTTTTGATCACAGTTTCAATTTCATTACTTGTGATTAGTCTCTTCATATTTTCTACTTCTTCCTGGTTCAGTCTTGGAAGGTTATACCTTTTAAGAATTTGTCCATTTCTTCCAGGTTGTCCATTCCATTGGCATAGAGTTGCTTGTACTAGTCTCTTAGGATGCTTTGTATTTCTGCAGTGTCTGTTGTAACTTCTCCTTTTTCATTTCTAATTATATTGATTTGAGTCCTCTCCCTCTTTTTCTTGATGAGTCTGGCTAATGGTTTATCAATTTTGTTTATCTTCTCAAAGAACCAGCTTTTAGTTTTATTGATCTTTGCTACTGTTTTCTTTGTTTCTATTTCATTTATTTCTGCTCTGATCTTTATGATTTCTTTCCTTCTGCTAACTTTGGGTTTTGTTTGTTCTTCTTTCTCTAGTTCCTTCAGGTGTAAGGTTAGATTGTTTATTTGAGATTTTTCTTGTTTCTTGAGGTAGGCTTGTATAGCTATAAACTTCCCTCTTAGAACTGCTTTTGCTACATCCCATAGGTTTTGGATCATCGTGTTTTCATTGTCATTTGTCTCTAGGTAATTTTTGATTTCCTC